GGGGAGAGAGAGAGAGAGAGAGAGAGAGGGAATCCCAAGAAGGCTCTGAAGGGTCAGTGCAGAACCTGACATGGGCTTGAACTCACAAAACTGTGAAATCATGACCTGAGCCGAAATCAAGATTCAGACGCTAACCGACTGAGCCACCCACTTTTAATTTCGGCTCAAGTCATGATCTCAAGGTTCGTGGGTTCAAGCCCAGCTTTGGGCTCTGTGCTGACAGCTCAGAGCCTGGAGCCTGCTTCGGATTCTGTGTCTCCCTCTCCCTCTGCCCTCCCCCACTCACATTCTGTCTCTCTCTCAAAGATACACATTTAAAAAATTTAAAATACATAAATGAATTCAATTCTCCATTCAAAAGGCACATAGAAAAGATTTTTAAAAAGCAAGATAAACAACATGCTGCCTACAGGAGACTCACTTAAGTTTTAAGAACATACATAGGCTGAAAGTGAAGAGATGTAAAAACATATTCCATGCAAATCATAACCCAAAGAAAGCGAGCAGGGCTGGCTATCCTTTTATCAGAGGAAATAGACTTAAAAAAAATTTTTTTTTAATGTTTATTTATTTTTGAGACAGAGAGAGACAGAGCATGAATGGGGGAGGGTCAGAGAGAGGGAGACACAGAATCCAAAACAGGATCCAGGCTCTGAGCTGTCAGCACAGAGCCCGACGTGGGGCTCGAACTCACGGACCGCGAGATCATGACCTGAGCCAAAGTCGGCCGCTCAACCGACTGAGCCACCCAGGCGCCCCAGAGGAAATAGACTTTTATTCAAAATCAATCACAAGATTAAAAAGTCACTATATAGTGATAAAGAAGTCAATTCATCAAGAGGATATAACAATTATAAATAGATATGTACCAGAGCACCTAAATATTTAGAGCAAAATTTTTTTACACAATTCTTTAATGTTTATTTATTTTTGAGAAAGAAAAGCAGAGTGTGAGTTGGGGAGGAGCAGAGAGAGGGAAACACAGAATCTGAAGCAGGTTCCAGCCTGAGCTGTCAGCACAGAGCCCAATGAGGGATTCAAACCCACCAACCACAAGATCATGACCTGAACCAAAGTCAGACACTTAACCAACTGAGCTACCCAGGTGCCCCTAGAGCAAATCTTAACAGAAGTGAGGGGAAAAACAGACAGCAATACAATAATAGTAGTGGACTTCAAACCTCACTTTCAACAATGGATAGATTATCTAGACAGAAAAACAATGAGGAAATAATAGGATTGAATAACACTATAGACTAAATGGACTAAACAGACATATCCACAGCATTCCACCCAATGGCACCAGAATACCATTCTTCTCAAGCACACATGGGACATTCCTCAGGAGAGATCATATATTGGGTCTCAAAAAAAGTCTTGGAAAATTTCAGAAGATTGACATGGTACCAAGTATCTCCTCTAACCACAATGGTATGAAATTAGAAATCAATAATAAGAGGAAATTGAAAAATGCACAATTTGGAATTGGAAATTAAACAATACACTTCTGAACAATCAATGAGTCAAAAAAGAAATAAAAATGGAAGTGAAAGTACCTTGAGACAAATAAAGATGAAAATAACAACATACCAAAATTTATGGGATACAGCAAAAGCTGTTCTAAGAGGGAGGTGTATAATGAGAATGCCTACATTAAAAAAAAAAAAAAAAGATTTCAAATAAACAACCCAACTTTATATCTTAAGGAACTAGAAAAAGAAGAACAAACTAAGCCCAAAGTGAGTAAAAATAATAAACATTAGAGCAGAAATAGTATAATAGAAAAATTCAATTAACCTAAGGGCTGTTTTTTAAAAAGATAAACAATTTTGACACACCTTTAGCTAGACTAACCAAGAAAAAAAAAAGAGAGAGGATTCAAATAAATAAAATTATAATTGAAAGAGTATATATTACACCTGATACCACAGAAATACAGAGGATCATATTATTATGAACAGCTATACACAAACTAATTGAATAACCTAGAAGACATGGATAAGTTCCTAGAAATATACAACCTACCAAGACTGAATCATGATGAAGTACAAAATGTGAACACATCAATAGCAAGTGGATTCAAACAGTAATAATAAAAAAAAATCTCCCAGTAAAGTCAAGTTCACATACTTGATGGGTGAATTCTAGCAACCATTTAAAGCCAATTCTTCTCAAATGTTTCCAATCACTGCCAAAACAAATGCCAAGCAGTTTTTCTCCTATGTTTCCTCCTAGAAGTTTACAGTTTCAGGTCTATGTTTAGGTCTTTAATTAATTTTCAGTTTATTTTGTACATGGTGCAAGACTAAAGGTTCAATTTCATTCTTTTGCATGTGGACATCCAGTTTTCCCATCATTTATTGAAGAGACTAGTCTTTACCCCTTGTGTATTCCTGGTTCTCTTGTCAAATATTGACATACACGTGTGGGTTTATTACTGGGTGCTCTATTCTGTCTCATTGATCTGTGTGTCTGTTTTTATGGCAGTACCATATTGTTCTTATTGCTATAGCTTTGTTAACATTAGTTGAAACCAGGAAGTGTGATGCCTCTCAGTTTTGTTCTTTTTTTTCTAAAGCTTACATTGACTATTCAGGATCATTGGTGGCTCGATACAAATTTTTGGGTTCTTTTTTCTATTTCTGTGAAAAATGCCATAGGAATTATGATAGGGATTGAACTGAATCCATAGATCACTTTGGGTAGTATGGACATCTTAACAATATTAACTCCTCTTAACCATGAACATGGAAAATGTTTCCATTTATTTGTATCTTCTTCAGTCTCTTTCATCAGGAAGGTAGATCAGGCCTGCTTCCATCAGCAGATAAGAAATGTGGTGGGTTCTGCTGCTACTGCTTCTGAGGATAGCTTGGGCCACTGCTGCTGGCTGATGTGGGGTACGGAGAGGGTAGATAAGCCTGGGTTCCATTATTGCTGCTGCTGTGGGCAGATCATGCCTGCTGCTACCAGTGGATTTGGAGCATGAGACGGATTGATCTATCTGGGTACTAGTGTCACTACTGCAGGCAGTTTAGCCTGTCATTGCCACTAGGTATGGGTCTCCCTGCATAGTTTCTGTGAGGCTACCCTTCCTTTGGCTATAGAGAGCAGGCTGTTCTTGTTTTTGTTTTATTTCCTCTATACCCCTTAGTGGTTCTGGATTGCAGACATTTCTGGTGTCCAGTCTGAGATATATGATAGATAAAAAGAAAACCTAGAGAATTCATCATGGTGTACATTTTTAAATCTTGAGGTTCCTAGCTGATCCACCTTCTTTCCACATTTCAGAGTCCTTTTAGGATTGTCTACTGAATTATTTTCACAGTATTTAGTTTGTATTTAGAGGGAAGGAAAAGGGAGAATGTGGTGGTAGGAAGATGGGGGTCCAGTCTGCTCCCATTTCTTCAGTTGAGTGTGTGGTGACATATACCATCATCCAGTTCAAGGGGAGAAGATGTAGAACTGGACATTTGGAGAGGAGGTGATATGGATTTTCAACTCAGAACATTGAAATGCAAACATAGCAGAGAACTTTTTTGGGAAATTTGTCCAGTAGACACCTACAGTTATGAATATTAACTGAGATAGATCATGCCTCAGGATTGTTTGTTTTGTTCCAGCCATGCTCGCTGTTCTGCAGGCACAGAGCAAGTAGATGGTTGAGTTCACCCCACACATGCTTGCAGAGAGAGGGCTAAGAGAAGTCAAGTTGTGCAGAGCAGAGATTACAATAATAACCGCAGAATCTGAACTGGGTAAAGAAAGATGCAAGGACATGCCAGGGGTGATGGCTGTAAAAAATAAAAAGGTAGGGTCAATAGATTGGAAGACTTTATCATATCTGAAGAAAGAGTCTATTGGGGGTATTTGAAAGATGAACTGGAAAGAAAGAATAAAGTAATCAGAAAATGCAACACTAGAAAAAGCCATTTGGGTAATAGAACAATTATTTGTACTGGTGAGGTCTACAGTCACACTGTCCAATAGAATAGCCACTATTCACATGTGCCCATTTAAACCTAAATTAATTTAAATAAAATAAAATCAAAGATTCAATTCTTTAGCTGCATCAGGCACACTTCAAGTACTTCGCAACCATATGTAGCTTGTGGCTTACTACGTTGGATAGCACAGATCCAGTTCATTTCTATCATCACAGAAAGTTCCATTGAATCACACTGCTTTAGTATGACTATGGGAGTGAGTGGCTGAGGAGGGGAGCAAAAATGGTTTATTAGAGCAAGGAGATTGATAGGACAATCTGACTAATGATAAAATCACCGAGAGTGGAGATAAGAGTAGGGATCGGATAATTTCAGAGAGAGCCCTGTTTGCTACAGCCCTTAAGGAGAGGAGTTTGGGTAAGGATGCTGTGGAGACAGAGTTGGAGTACCATGAACTCATATTCTCTGTTAGTCCCCCTCAGCTGCTCATCAACATGCCTAGCTGCACCTATCACTAAGGCCAGCCTCCTGTCTTCACCTGAGGCTGCATTGCACTGCTTCTAGTAGTCAGACAAATGTTGGCATTTTCTCTAGGTGCTTGTCAAAGATACCTTGTCTGAGGTAACCCAGACCCCAGTTAACCCCTGACCCCAGGCTGACAGAGAAGAGTCTCAGAGTCTCTTCTCATGTGCAGAGATGCTCAGGGTCTTCAGTGAGATGCAGCCCACCTATCTTTCAGATCCCCAGGGGGGGAAGAAAGGAAGGGTACTGGGAACGGGAACTGAGACTTCTGGTTCTGTCATATATCAGGATAGACAAGGACCTCAGTTTCTGTTTCAACAACTGAGTAAACAGCATATGGTCATTGTCAGTCCAAAATAGGGTCCATGGGCACAAGGGGAAAACCTTACTGAAGTTCTTTCCCAGGAAGAAAAGGAGGCAGCATGGCCTAAGACCCAACATTTCCCTTAGCTGGAGGAGAACATGAGACATACCAGACCAGGTTAAACTTTTAATGGGGACAGGAGACACAGTGCCCCTTCTTGCCAACCTTTAGGGGTTGATGATCTCAATGTGGAACTGTAGGTGAGTGGCTGTGACTACACAGTGGCCCCGGAGGAGAGCACAGGTATGGCAGTTGTGGCATTGCCAGTGGCACTGAATGACATAGATGGCATTGAGCACCTGACGGTATCGCCAGTGGATACGCCACATACGGACCAAGGACTGGATCTTGACCACGGCCCTCACTGTATTTGCATAGGTGACCAGGGCTTGCCTTCGCTTCTCCTGCAGCAGGCTATCCAAGGTCAGCCTCCACCAGCGCTGAATGATACAGGCCCTGAGGGCTTCGTGCAGCAATGTCCGGCGTACCAGGGTGCCACGCCACCAGGCCTGGATCTCTGTAGCTGCTTTTGTTTGTTTTTTAAAAGTTTTCTAAGTGGAGATAAGAGAGACCACTCAGGGAACTTCCTGCCATCAACTTCCAAGATCTTCCTGGAAGGGGCCTGGATTCTCTTAACAGTTACCATTTTTTGGAGAGTTGGGGAGTTGGCAGGACACTGCCTAAGAGCCAGAAGACCTGGATAGTGAGCCCTTCTTTGCCACTGTGGGCACATCACTCTGCCCTCAGAGTCACAGCACCCTACTATCTCACAGGTGTATAGATCAAGGGGAAAACCATTAGCAGCTAGAAGGGTGCATTAGGGATGTGAGGGACTTTGTTAGTCATGGTCCACATCTTCAATGCTTATTGGGTTTTGGAGGTTTGGCCTCATAATGCCTTTGTCTGGTATTCTCTGCTAATTCTAGTCCCAAACCATCATTGGCTGATTTCCCTCTGCCACAATGTATTTCAGTACTCTGATTGTTTTTCAGCACCCTCAACCCACTTTCTATTCCAGCCTTCCCATATTTTGAACATTGTACTCTCTAATTCAGAGTCCTCACATTATCACCTCCCAGCCCCATTCATTTCTTGATGGCTTTCATTCTCCCCATTCACTCTTCATGTCACAGTCAGACTGATACCCAGAGAGCCCATGCTGAGAAGGGAGTGGAGGAAAAATGGGCCAAAATTGAGCTGACTCTTGATTATTTTAGACTCAGGATCCATAAGGAGCACAATTCCACACCCTTATGACACAAATATAAATGTTCTGGATATCTCTTAACTACATGGAAATTTTACTCACCTTGAGTTTCTGCTTCTCTGTCTTCTTCCATTCGGTTCTTTCTTCAACATCTTCAATTACAAGTACAATTAAATTGCCGTGAGTCTGTCATCAGAATTGAATCGGAAATGAATGGATGAGTTAAGACTGCTGTTTCTCTCTATGGCTCTGTACAAAGATACCCCCTGCTTCAGCATCCCTTCTTTTCCCAAGACCTGTGAAGTCCTGGGTGATTCTCACCCACTCCTAGTTTGCCTAGTAAATCTGGCCATGTCTCTTACACAAAATCTGAGCCCCATGGCTTATCTCTAGATGGTTCATTAGCCTTGATTTCTCTACTTCCCAAAGTCTGGCATGAATAAAATGAGGGGGACAGTTATGAGTTCCCAACTGCATTATGACATCAGGATTAAGATATCTGCCACAGAGTTGAGTCTTCCTCAGAAACAAGCTCCATGGGAACTTGTACTACCTTACCTGTCTACTTCCCTCCTGTCAGAGATGTACCAGAGCTCAGAGTGGAAAGATAGGGTGCGTGAGGGCCATTTGATACCCGGGGTCCTCCAGTGAGGCCCGCCCACATCCCTCATTTTCAGTCACACAGGGGAGCAGGAAGGACCATGGCAGTGTATCTCTGTGGAGCTCTCTAGTGTCTTCTGAGACTTAGCATTTCCTGTCTCCCCTTGACTCAGGTTTCAGTACCTCAATACACCATAGGAAACCAGAAAGAGAAAGAACAGATGAATCTAAAAAGCAGTAAAATAAGGGTAAAAATTTAAATTAAATAGAAAACAAAAATAGGTGGTGGAAAGTAAATGAAAATGTGGTATTTTTGAAAGCACCAATATTAAAGATAAACACTCCATGAACCTGAGTGAGGGAGAAAGAGAACAAAAATGGAATGAGAAAGGCAAAATAATCACAAAGAGAATTAAATAAATGTAAGAGAATGTCATCGTAACAAATTTGGAAACTAAGAGGAAATGCTTTCCTAACAAAATGTAAATTACGAAAATTAATTGGAGAAAATATGTAAAACTTGATAAATTGAGAAGGTTACTGAAGATCCACCATAAATAAGGCATCAAGACCAGGTAGATTCATACACAAACTTTAAACAAAACTTACAAATTCAGGTATTTCCAATGTGACAAACTATTCAAGGCAGAAGACAGAAGATAGAAGTTTCCATCAAGCATTTCATAGTGTCAATCCCCTAAAAAAATCCTGCTAGGGTTTTTTTTTTTTTAGGGGGAAGAAAAGCTATCTTCTGATACTCCTTCTAAGACCATGGACTATCCCTTCCTTTGACAAGAATTCTTTTACGTCTTTCAAAAAATAATTCTTCTATATATTTCTCTAAAGTTTTTAAAAATTTTTCTGTAAAGGTCTTTTTAAGATTTTAAGTGATGTCTATACTCAATGTGGGACTTGAGAACTCACAACCCTGAGATCAAGAATCTCATGCTCCACCAATTGAGCCGGCCAGGAGCTCCTGTAAAGGTCTCTCTCTCTCTCTCTCTCTCTCTCTCTCGATATAATTTACATTCTACAAAGCTCACTATTTAAAACTGTACAATCCAGGGGCGCCTGGGTGGCGCAGTCGGTTAAGCGTCCGACTTCAGCCAGGTCACGATCTCGCGGTCCGTGAGTTCGAGCCCCGCGTCAGGCTCTGGGCTGATGGCTCGGAGCCTGGAGCCTGTTTCGGATTCTGTGTCTCCCTCTCTTTCTGCCCCTCCCCCGTTCATGCTCTGTCTCTCTCTGTCCCAAAAGTAAATAAACGTTGAAAAAAAAAAATAAAACTGTACAATCCAGTAGTTTTTAAGCATATTCACAAAGTTGTGCAACTATCACCACTATCTGATTCTAGAACATTTTCATAAGCCCCCAAATAAGCCCCATACCCATTAGCAGTTAATCTCCATTCTTCCCTACCCCAACCTCTGGTAACCACTGAACTTCTTTATGTCTTTATAGATTTGCCTATTCTGGATATTTCATATGGTTTGAATCACACAATAAATGGCTTTTTGTGTCTGGCTTCTTTTGCTTAGTACAATGTTTTCAGGGTCCACTCATGTTTGTAGCATGTCAGTATGTCCTTATTTTCTATGGCTAAATAATATTCCATTGCATGTATATACTACATTTTTAATCCACTCATCAGTTAATTGGCACTTGAGTTGTTTCTATTTTTTTAGTATTATGAATAATATACCTATAAGTATTGATGTGCAAGTTTTTGTATGAGCATATACAATGCTCATACATTTTCAATTCTCTTGGATATATACCTAGAAGTGGAATTGCTAGGTCATATGGTAAGGTTTTTGTTTTTTTGTTTTTTTCCTGAAAGCAAAACAGATGCACCTGGGTAACTTAGTCAGTTGAGCATTAGGCTCTTGACTTTGGCTCAGGTTCTCTTGGTTCATGGGATCAAGCCCCACATCAGGCTCTGCTCTGACAGTGTGGAGCCTGCTTGGGATTCTCTCTTTCCTTCTTTCTCTGCCTCTCTCCCATTCTCTCTCTCAAAATAAAGAAACTTAAAAAAAAAAACAAAAACAAAACGCCTTTTACAACCACCAATCTGTTCTCTGTATCTATGAGTTTGTTTTGTTGTTTCCAGTTTTTAGGTTTTTTTAGATTTCATATAAGAGAAACCATATGGTATTTGTCTTTGTCTGGCTTATTTCACTTAGTAAAATGCCCTTGGGTTTCATCCATGGTATCATAAATAGCAAAATTTAATTATTTTTAATGGGTATTCCATAAAATGGGTAACATTCCATTGTATGTACAAACCACAATTTCTTTATCCATTCATCCATCGATGGACACTTAGGTTGTTTCCATATCTTGACTATTGCTGCAATGAACATGGGGGTGCAGGTTATCTTTTCAAATTAGTTTTTTTGTTTTGTTCACATAAATACCCAGAAGTGGAATTGCTAGATCGTATGGTAGTTCTATTTTTACTGTTTTCCATAGTTTCAGCACCAATTTACCTGTCACAACAGTGCACGAGGGTTCCCTTTTCTCCACATCCTGATCAACTTTTTTTTTTTATTTTTTAATGTTTATTCATTTTTTTGAGAGACAGAGAGAGACAGAGCATGAGCGAGGGAGGGTCAGAGAGTGAGAGGAAGACACAGAATCTGAAGCAGGCTCCAGGCTTTGAGCTGCCAGCACAGAGCTTAACGTGGGGCTGGAACCCACGAACTGCAAGATCATGGACCTGAGCAGAAGTTGGCCACTTAAGCGACTGAGTCACTCAGGTGTGCTGTCATCAACTTGTTATTTCTTATCTTTTTTAAAAAAAATCATAGCCATTCTAACAGGTGTGAGGTTATATCTCATTGTGGTTTTGATTTGCATTTCCCTGATGACTAGTGATGTTGAACATATTTTCACATACCTGTTGGCTGTGTGTTTTCTTTGAAAAAATGTCTTAGATCTACCCATTTTTATTATAATTAATTAATTAATTGATTTTTTTTTGAGAGAGAGAGAGGGCGCAAGTGAGCAAGGGGCAGAGAGAGAGAGAGAGAGAGAGAGAGAGAATCCCAGAAGGGACAAAGAGAGAGAGGGAGAGAGAAAGAGAAGCAGGCTCACCCGAAGTGGGGCTCGTGTTTACCCACTGAGGTTTGAGCTCACCCCAAGCAGAGCTTGTGCTCATCTGAAGTGGAGCGCAAGCTCACCTGATGTGGGATTCGAACACATGAACCGTGAGATCATGACCTGAGCCAAAGTCAGATGCTTAATGACTGAGTCATCCATGCACCCAGACTGGCCCATTTTTAAATTGGATTGTTTGATTTTTTTGCTATTGAGTTATATGTGTTCTTTGTATATTTTGGATATTATCCCCTTATTAGATATATGACTTGCAACTATTTTCTTCTATTCAGTAGGTTGCCTTTTCATTTTGTTGATGCTTTCCTTTGCTGTGCAGAAGCCTTTTAGTTTTATGTAATCTCACTTGTTCATTTTTGCTTGTGTTGCTTTTGCTTTTGGTGTCAGATTTTAAAAAATCATCACTAAGACCAATGTCAAGGAGATTACCACCAATGTTTTCTTCTAGGAGTTTTATAGTTTCAGGTTTTACATTCAAGTCTTTAATACACTTTGAGTTAATTTTTGTGCATAATATGTAGATAATGGGCCAGTTTCATTCTTTTGCATGTGGTTGTCTAATTTTCCCAACATTATTTATTGAAGAGACTGTCCTTTCCACATTGTTTATGCTTGACTCCTTTGTTGTAAATTAATTGACCATTAGTATATGAGTTTATTTCTGAGACCTCTATTATGGTACATTGACCTTTGTGTCTTTTTTTAATGTCCATACCATACTGTTTTAATTACTATAGATTTGTAATATAGTTTGAAATCAGGGAGTGTGATGCCTCCAGCTTTGTTCTTCTTTCTCATGGCTGCTTTGGCTTGTCAGGGTCTTTTGTACAGGTTCTACTCAAATTTACTGCATGTCACACAGGATCACAGGGAAGCATCAGGTTTTAGTCAGGTGGCAGAAAGCAGGAGTAAGAAAAGAACTTCTCCCATGGCCTCTGTCAGAGTGGGAAAGGCAAGGAAGGATAGGGTAAACAGGTTAAGATTGCCTGGTTTGAGTCATTTCTGTGGTTCCTAAGCTATATAGATGTCTAATACCTGGCTTCGAATGATTAAGGCAGAGGATTATGGCTTTCTGGATGTAGAGGACAAAGACAGAGGGGGTTTACCCTGAATTGGTTAGTTTGAGACCCATATAAATTGTTCCATGTATCCGTAGTTTGTTCCTTTTTACTGCTGAGTAGTGGTGCATTGTATGGATGTACCACAGTTTGAATAGTCATTTGGGTTGCATCCACTTTTCTGGCTATTATTCTACCATGAAATTTTTGTGGAAGCTTTTGTGTTTTCAATTTTCTTGGATATATATACCTAAGAGTGGAATTGCTGGGTCTTATGGTAACTCTACACCTAACTTTTGAGAGATCATCAAACTATTTTCACATCAGCTACCCCATTTTACATTCCTAAGAGCAATCTACATAAGATCCAGTTTCTCCAATCCTACTATCTACTGTATTGTAGATATTACTATATTGCACAGCTGCAGCTGACTGCATTTGCTGATGGACTGATGTGAATGGGGATGGATAGAGATAAGTAAAAGGGAGGGTTCAGAAGAGAATTTGAATCAAACAGATGTGGTGAATGGTCAAGGCACAAGGAGAAGCAATTTTGGATAAAATCATGAAGTGTGGGGGTCCTGTCTGCCACATTATGTTTGAAAAAACCTATTAGACATCAAAGCAAGACATTAAGTGGGAAGTCATACGTTGGGTATGGAATTCAGAGGAGCTATCAGGGATGGTGATGTAGATTTGAATGGCATCAGAATATAGCAGATAGCTAAGACCATGTCGGTGATGTTATCTGGGAGTACACATTAAGAGGGACTAAAAGAACTTTTATGATTGAGCCCCTCATAGGTTAGAGGCTCATCAATGAAGAAGCCATTGATAAGATTAAGAAAAAGCAGCCAGTGAAGAAAAAGCAGGAGAGTGTGATGTTCCTGAAGCCAAACAGAGTGTTTCAAGTAAGAGAGAGTTGTCAACTTGTAGTCTGATGCAGAGAGAAGGCAGAGAGCAGAGGATTCACCATTTTCATGTAAGCAAGTTAGTTGGTGATTTTAGATGGTGTTAGTTTTTGTTGTTCAACCAACCACCAAAACATAGAGACTCAAAACAATAACCATTTATAGAACTCACAGGTCTGTGGAGTGACAATTTGAGCTAGGATCATCTGGGTGATTTTTCTGTTCTCAACTGGGTTCGCTAAAAATACGTGGTCCGTTGGTAGGTGTGATGGGGGCTGGTGATGTAAGATGGCCTCATCAGAGACAGCTCATCTCTGTCCCATATGTTGTCTCATGCAACAGTGGTAATCTCCTTGTTCGCATGGGAGATGGTTGTTTAAGACCTCTTAAAGTCTAGGCTTGCAACCGGCACAATATCACTTTTACTGCATACTATTGGCCAAAGAAAGTCACAGGGAGGCCTAGATACAAGAGGAGGTTAAGTAGCCTCTGTCTGTTATTGATAGAGCTACAAAGTCACATTGCAAAGGTGCATGGATACAAGGAGGACAGTAATTTTGGTCATTTTTGTAAACAATCTCTCTCAATCAATACCCTTGACCAGTGTAGCTTCCGTGGAGTTGGGGGGAAGGAAAGACCAATTGGAGTGAATTTATGAGAGAATGGGAAGAGCAAGAGAGGAAACAGTGACAACATGTTTTTCTATAAGAAGATGCAAAGAACTGGATAGGAGGTAGTCAAGAATGGACTTTTTAATGGTGGAGGATACTTATGCTGATGTAAATGATTTGGTGAAAAGGAAGAAACCAGTTCAGAGAAACAAATGAAATTACAGAACATCATTGCAAAGGCAGGAGGTGACAGTGGGCAAAAGGAAAAGAAGAGCACCAGAAGAGCAAAGTGGAAGGGGTGGCATTGGATGGGGCAAAGATAATTCATTTCAACTCAAGGAAGGCAATGAGTGTGGTAAAAAAGGCCAGCTGAGATGGAGGATGAGACAGTAGGGAGACGGAAGTCCAGTCTGCTGCCATTTTCTCAGTTAAGGGTGTAGTGATATCATCATTTGAGGTCAAAAGGAAAAGAGGAAGAATAGCGCATTGAGGAAAAAGGAAGTGATGTGAAATCTTCAGGTCAAAAAACAAATTTACAGAGAAGTGTCTTGAGAAGCAAGTCTGTCCATCTGTGGTCTTGAAGATAAACCCAAACCACGCAATATAGTGATTTGTTTTTCTTCACGGAAATTCAGCTTTTCTTGTGGATGAAGTAGGTGAAGGGTTGGGTTCACACAAAGGTGGAGAGAGAGGGCCAACAGTGGTAAAATTGTAAGAGAATCCTTGATAGAGAATGGAATCTGAGCTGGGGAAAAGGGTAGTACAATACTGGTAAAGTCAATCTTTGGGAAGTCCTTATTAGGACTGAAGAAACATTTGGATCAATGCATAAGAATCAGCGACTCTAACACAGAGGTTGACAAACTTTTTCTGTAAAGGACCAGATAGTATTTTAAGATTGATGTCACAATCACAACCACTCAACTGCAAACCATAGTTTTCTGACTTCTGCCCTAAAGCATAGAAAGCAAAAGTTAGAGACCAAGATTATTAAAATCAGTATTGGTGTTGCTGTGGTCAGTTATGACAAGGACCAGGACAATGCCACCCAAAGTATGGTTAGCATTTGCTACCACTGAGATTAAGTACAAAGATTGAGATTAAGCACTTAGAAATTTGTATAGCAAATTGAAACAGAAATTTTATGTGTGTCCAGCCTAACAAAAGTAAGCCTTATATTCTGTATACATTTTCTACTTGTTTTTTCCCACAATTCATTTTTATTGTTTTACAAAAGAATTAGTATATGATGGATTGGACACTTTTTTTTTTTTTAAGGCCATTCCTTAAAGGCAGCTTGAAAAGCAACAATCTCTGGTGCAATTATAGGAGTGGGTGATTCAGGTAAAATGGAAGTCAGAATCACTGGAGGTAAGAGGCAAGGGGCTTGGAGCATCATCTAAGTTAATACTGAAGTTACTAAGAATGGTGTCACACATAGGGTGGCAGTGATATCAGTGGGAGCCCTATTTTGTGTTTCAGCACCCTGGAGAAGCTGGTCCTGAGGATGGAAGCAGAGCTGAGGTTCCTTAAGATCATGATACCTGCTATTTCCCAAAGAAAACAGCATCCAAATTAGCACAAAACTTGAAAAACCTTGTGCCTAGTCACCACTAAGGTCAGCCTCCTGTGCATTCTATGGGCTGTACTGCTCTCAAGAGCCCGCAAAGTGTCTGACTTCTGTCTAGGGGCTTGCCAAATAGCCAGTGGGTGCAAGCCCCAGCTGGCTCATGATGGCAGGCTAACAGAGCATGGATTCAAAGGCGACTCTCATAAGAAGAGGTGCCTGGAGTCTTTGGGAATATAAAGCCTAACTGCTCCCAATTGCAAGATCAGGAGATAATGGTGCCAGGGCTATGGAATGGTACACTTGGCTCTTGATGTGTGAGAACAGCTTCAGGTAGCAGTTTCTGATTTGGATAGAGCCAGTGGCATATGGCCACTGTCAGTCAGCACTAAAGGGTGGGAGTGGGGGGAGAGATATCTGTCTTTTCCCACATAGAAGGTGGAGGCCTTGGGGTCTTCATGGTGTAGGAGTCACTGAGACACACAAAACCTGGTCAGACATTTATTGGGGGGCAGTGGAGTAGTTCTCCACCCTCTGGTACTTTTAGACTGATAGGATTTCAATATGGAACTCCAGCTGGTTGGGAGTGACTTCATATTGTGCCTGTAGAATATCACTGGTCTGGAAGGCAAAATAGCTCTTTGGGGCCTGAAGGATGCAGACAGCATTGCATATTCGGCAGTAACGTCGATGGCACTGCCACATGCGAACCCAGGACTGGAGCTTGACTGCCGCCTCCTCCTGGATTACATATATCTTCAACAGGTCCTGCCGCTGCTTAAGAACCCGCCTCCACAAAAGTGTTCTCCACCAGAGCTGAATCATCCAGGCCCTGAGGGCTGCCACCAGCAGGGTGCGACGTACCAGGGTGCCACGCCACCAGGCCTGGATCTTCTCAGCTGCCTTGATTCTTGCTCTGTGGCGTTTTTGACAAAGCCTCTAACCAAGCAAAGCAGAGGACTCCACATGAATTTGTTATGAACAACCACAAGTCTGGTGTCTGCCACGAAGGAGCTCTGATCTTCTTTCTTAACTAGCCTTTCCCCTGGTGGTTCTGAGGACCCAGGAGTCCTGGGTGGGGTTTTGCCTCTACTTCTACCTTACCTGTGGCCATAGACGTATTGGTCATCTTCTGAGTCATAGTGTCCTCATCTACAAAATGGGGATATGCTTGCCCTGTGATCTTCACAGGTTCTGTGGAAACAATTTCTGATCCAGAAGACCTGCCATGAGTGTGAGGAACCAAAAGGTCCTCTGAGGATGAACCTCTGCATTTATGGCCTACATCTCAACCCAGATTCCAGCCTATGATGCTGCCTCCTGATGCCTCATGCCAACCCATAGCCCCTTGAGGGTTTTCCTTTACCTCACTTCTTTTGATTTCCACTACCTTTCAGTCACCACTATATCCTTCTAAACCCAGGCTTTACTTTCTCTGGATTTCCAGTTCCCACTACTGTGCCCCACCTTCCAGTGGCCTGTCTGCATCCTGATTCCTCACCTCTCTGCTGTCTCTTCATACTTAACATAGCTCACTCAGAATAGGGAGGGAATTTATGGGGACAGGAGGGCAACACTGAGCTGACTTCTCAGCTGTGGGACCAGAGATGGATCCTTCACTTTCAAGAACTCTGTGCTCAGATGGTCAATGAACTGTGGTTCTCTCATGCTCCTAGGCTCCACCTACCTTCAGCTTCTCAGTCTCTAGTGCATCCTTATCTGGACCAGACTTCTGCAATCAGAATATAGAGAGAAAGCCTGAGTGAGGACCAGTTTCTGTGCAAAGTCCTCACAGGTCTACTTCCCCATTCTTTCTGAGTCTTTTTTTTTTTTTTTAAGATTTAAAAAAAAAGTTTATTTATTTAATGTGAGAGAGGGAGAGAGGGAGCATGAGTGGGGGAGGGGCAGAGAGCGGGAGAGAGAGAATCCCAAGCAGGCTCCATGGCATGGAGCCCAACACAGGGCTCAATCTCACAACTGTGAGATTATGACCTGAGCCCAAATCAAGGGTGGGACGCTTAACTGACTGAGCCACCCAGGTGCCCCTCCTGAGTCCTTTTGAAGTCATCTGGTGCTTCCCTCTGCCATGGGCTAACTCCCTACTTCCAGGGAGGGGGTGTTTGGCTGTCTTACACAGCATTTACCGCCCATGGTTTGGGGCAGTAGTTCAGGTGTTCACACCCCCTCTGGTTGCTGCTCCATTGGTCCTGGCAGAATCAGGAAGGGTGGGAGAGGAGGAGATAGCCATGATGTCACAAGGGCAACTATGACCCAGGGACCAGGTTGCCTCAAATTTGTTGGGTAAAGAGGAAACATCTACCCATTTCCCTCCTGCCAGGGATTGACCAGGGATTGTCCTTGGGGAAACCATAGCCCCCGTGAATCTGTCCTGTCCAAAGGATGACCTCTAGTCTGGCCCACCCACAAGACTTTTCTGTCATCATCACTAAGGAGAGCTGCTTACACAGTGCAGAGGAAGGTTCCTGGGCTCAGGGTGCTTCCTGTGTCTTGCCTTCTTTGCCTCCATGCCCTTCCTCAGTATGTGGGAAAATCCTTCTTTTAATTAGTGAGTATGTGAGACTGTGAGTATGGAGGGTGAGCAGAAGGGGCTAAGGAAGGGTCAGGATGGAGGTACCTCAGCCTATTTCTATTCCCCTCCAGCTGCTGAACCCCTGTATTTCTACAGTTGTTTGGTGCCTAACAAGCCAATATATGTTCCTTAAAACAAAATAAGCCCTTCCACTCAGTGTCTGAAATTTACTGGGCTGGAGGAATTTTCCAAACATGAGTCATTATGTAAGAGACAGTGTTCCCCAGTGTAGATTCCTCTAGTGGTAGCAATGGTCATATTTGAAAGAGTCACTTAGTTATTCAGGCTTGCCTCCAAGACCAGCTGCCTCTGGCTGTCCCCACTGCCATCTCACAGGCACGCTCACTTTCATCTCTTAACTGACTCTGGATAGCCCCCTCCAGACCTCAGTGACATGCTGATGTGGTCTCTTCATTTCAAGACCTTAACTCTCCACCAAAAAAGATGAGGACTTGGCTTTCTGCCCCATCCCCAAAACCTCACTTTTTCTCCCTTCATCTTCCCCACTAGGTCACTTGCTGCCATTTAGGTCCCCAATCGCAATTTAGTGTTTATATTATCATGACTCTGTGAGTGCCACTGACCACTGTGCCATGGAGCACATTCTGGTTCCCTATCCTTTCTTGCACAACTTCATAAAAGCTTTTTATCATGAAAATGTTTAAATATATACACAATTTGACAACAGATAAGGACTCCCTATGTGCTCATGACCCAGGATAACCTGTTTCCCTGCTCTCTGCCCCACGGATGAGTTAAGCCATGGCAGAGAGTGCCATGAGGAACATCTTCCCGCATGTGTCTGTGCCTCCATGGGAGGCATTCTCCAGGGAATGCACACGGGGGTGGCTTGCTGTGTCATGGGACAGGTGGTTCCTCCATGCTACTAAATGCTGACAGATTGTTTTCCACAGTGGCACCACCAGTGCAACCTCTGTCAATCACCTCCTAATTTTCGCCGAACTGAAAGATGTGAAGTGGTGTCACCTTGCTCTTTTAATTTCCATTTTTCTCACTAGGGACTTGAGCAGAGCAGGATTCTTCAGGGTGAATAACAGGGATCCAACCTTGACACAGACCCTTTCTAGCTGTGTGCACTTGAGCAAGTCTTCCAGTGGTGTCTGTTTCCTCCTGGGCAAAGTGAAGATAGAAACATGGTTCCTCCTCCAAGGAGCTCTTGCGGAGATTCATGAAGGTGAAGTCCTTGGAATGGCACCTGGTCTTAGTACTGCTCTGTGTCTTTCAGCTCTTATGATTATTTCATCTTGACCTTCTAGCATCTCTGTGTAATTGCCTGATAGAGTCCTTGGCCTATTTTTTCTGTTGGATTCCCATCATCCTCTTGGATGACTTCCTTGGACAATCTTTTGTGGATAGATATGTTACAAATATTCTCTCCCCAACAATCATCGGCCAGCTGACTTTCTTCATGGTGTTATTCATTGCACAGATATCATTCCATCTATTTCTCCCTTTGTAATTGTGCTTTTGAAATTTTTTAAATTAGTGCTTTCTCATCTAGGGTCACATATTTTCCTGTTAAATTCTGGTTTACATCTTACACTGAGGTCTTCACCAAGTGACAGAACATGATCCTGCACATTGGGTCTCCTTCTTTCTTGGATTTAGTCCCTATTTTGGATAGAGCACATGTTATGATAGTTTCCTAAGGAAAAGTATATGGATATCAATATGTACAGATTTGCATGTCTGAAAATGACTTTTTTTTACACCTTCAAATCTGATTGATAGTGTTGCTGAGTATGGAATTCTAGACTGAAAATAGTTTTCCCTCAGAATTTTGAGGAATTGCTTTAACTGTTTTCCTAGAGGTCTAATGTTACTCTGATTCCTTTCTCCATATGATGTGACTTATTTTTTCCTCTCTGGAAGCTTTTAGGATTTTCTCCTTATCCCTTATCTTTAGTTTTTAGGATGTTCTGAAATTACTGTTGTTTCAATAAGTGATTGCATAGTGAAGGAATACATGATTCCATCTAGGTCTTAGATTTATGTCTTCATCAGGGTTCCTACTGATGAAACTCCCTACTCCCTAGAAACAACTGTCCCAACATTTCTGAGCCAACCATCCCAGATCCCTCACACCCACTAGACATGTTGTTCTCAGCCTCTCTGAGATGTTCCCCCACTCCCTGCCTCACTCACTGTATGGGGCACATTAGTTTATAAAATTTGTATTATTCAACTATTGGAAACTTTATTGTATTAGTTTATTAAAAATCATTTCTACCTTTTAATTTTCTCCATTTTAATACTTAGAGAAAACCTATTAGATCATAGATTGATCCTCTAATTTTCCAATATTTTCTACACTATTTTCTTTGTCTTTTTATTCTACTTTTTTAGGAGGTATTCTCCATTTTTAAAAGTCTTAACTTTCAAGAGCTCTTTCTTGTCCTTGGATTATTCTTTTATAGCACAGTATTCTTATTTCATTGATTTGTTATCTTTTATTAGGAATAGTAGTAATAGGGGCACCTAAGTGGCTCAGTCAGTTAAGCATCTTACTTTGGCTCAGGTCATGATCTCATGGTTCATGGGTTCCAGCCCCACCAGCTCTGTGCCAACAGCTCAGAGCCTGGAGCCTGCTTCGGATTCTGTGTCTCCCTCTTTCTCTGCCCCTCCCCGGCTCGTGCTCTGTCTCTCTCTCTCAAAAATAAATAAACATTAAAAAAAAAGAGAATAGTAGTTGTAATTGTTAAGTTTGGTTTTTTAAACCTTTTTCTTCTGTTCCCAGTACGATCTCTTTTCTTTTAAGTCCCCTTTTTTCTTTTTATTTCAGTCTCTCATGTTAATGATCCTTGGTTGTTTATTCATGTGTGTGAGCGTGGCACTAAAATGCTAAAGGGAAGCTCAGGGTGCATGGGTGCGGTTTCTTAACTGGTACCACTCAGAGTAGGTTAATAAGGCAGAGTTGGGTTTTGTTTCAGTGGGGGACCCCCCAAATTAGCATTCATTTGTTTTATTCTTTGGAGCTTGTGGTAGATTGCTTTAGTGGTCTTACATTCATACTTTTTCCTATGGGACTTTGTAGTTTCTTCCCTTAAGGGGACAGAATCTATCTTCCTGTGCCTTAGATTGGCAATGTGATGTGCTTTGGCCAACAGAATAAGGTGGAATGATGACATGCAAGTTTGGCCTCGGCTTTGAAAGTCTTTGCCAATTTATGTTTACCCTCTTGGACTTCTGCCATTGCCAACAAGGAAGTGCCCGGGGTATGAGGAAGAGGATGAGAAACGTGGGGCAGAGTTTCTCTAGACAAGCTACCCCAGTTAAACACAGCCTAGGTCAGCATGCTTACTGCTGCCTGCCACTGAGGCTTGTGGCAGTCTGCCATGCAGCATTTGCGTAGCAATAATTGACTGATGTCCCAGAAAGGAATCCCAGAACCTCAAGTCAGAGAGTGGAATGAAACCTGACTGACTGCAAGCCTTCAGGGAGCTGAGCTGGCACCAAGGGTTGGAGGCCTCACTGTCTAGCCTACACACTTTCAATTAATTGCTCCATTTTAGTATGCCTTCCGCCACCTCTGCCTTCACCTCTGCCTTCCGCCATGACTGAAATATTGGAGTCTAGATCCTCTCTGGTTCAACTTAGGCAGAAAAGAAAACTCTCTTCAGCCAGGGTGGAGGAGGGGCTATTGCCAGCTGTACACATGAAGGAAGAGAATGGGATGAGGGAAATCCAACAAATCCGTATTTAAATGTTTACTCCTCACCTTAGATTCTTAGTGTCTCAACTACACACTGTTATTATTACAGTCTTTTGATGTATTTTCATGTGCTTTACCATACTCCTAGCTCTAGTCTTTTTGTCAAAACCGTCTTAACTGATTGTGGACACTTACTTAATATGATTTTTTATCAGCTTGTCAAGTTCCCAAAAACTCCTGATCACATTCTTATAGGAATTGAGTTCCACCTGGAGATCAACTTGTAGATAATTTGCAATTTTACAATGTTGAGTCATTCTATCAATAACTATATGGTATATCTCCCCTTTTATTTGGTCTTCTGTTACCTCCTTTGAGCTATGGACAAGAGTGGCATATGTAACTTCAAGGATATGCCCTAAAAGAGAAGGAATATGCCTTTCTCCTTCTCCTTCCTCCTCGCTGGCTAGATTGTGGAGGGGATTGTTGAAGTTGAAATAGCCATTTGGGATCATGAGGTGATCTTGGGCTCACAGACCGTATACAGCAGAGTAACAAGGTAGAAGGGGCTAGGATTCTTTACCCTCTGAAGTGCCATCCCAGGGTTTGGACACCTATTTCTCAACTTCTTTGGAAAGGAGAAATAAACCTCCAATTTATGTGCGGCTCTGCTATTTTGGTCATGCTGTCCTTCACAGTGACCACACAGTTAAGATCTACCCCAGTGGTTCTCAAAGTGGGGTTCCCTAGAACAGTAGCCACAGCATTACCTAGAAAACATACTAGAAATACTCATTCTTGGGACCCTGTAAACTAAATCAGATATGTTGGGTGGGGCCAGCAATCTGCTTTGATGAGCCCCCTCACATGATTGTGATGTATGCTACA